TATAAAAAATTGTGTATTTGTTCTTACATGTTTAAACTTCAGTCACCTTCAAAGTACTCTGATTCAAAACACCTATCGAGACATTTTTCTACTGTCCAAAACAGTTTTTGAACTCAATTTTGATGCCTTTTAGTGCTTCTGTCATCTTGTGTTTCACCTCTTCCGCATCGGCAAAACATTTCCCTTTGAGGACTTTTTTCATCAGGGAAGCAAACAAACAAAAAAAGTCACTCAGGGAGAGATTGGGTGAATAGGGAAGTGCCATTTTTGGTCAAAAACTGTTGAACACTCAGTGCAGTATGGGCAGGTGCGTTGTCATGGTGGAAGAACCAGTCACCTGTTTGCCACAACTCAGGAAGTTTCTTCTACACATCGTGACACAACCTTCTCAAAACATCTAGATAAAAATTTGGGTTTACTGTTTGATCCAGAGGATCAAATTCCAAGTGTACTGCAAGGGACTCACCCTCCAAAAGACAATTCCAGTTTTTTGAGGGTCCCTCCTCGTATGTGGGAGCTAAAAATATGGATCTCATGGAGGTGGGATTGAATGATGGTTACCAGAGGCTGTGAAGTAAAGGAGGAAGGAAGGATGAAATGAAGTTGATTAATGGGAACAAAAATTTGGTTAGGCAGAAGAAATAAGGTCTAGTATTCAGTAATACAGCAGGAAAATTATAGTAAATGATAATTTATAGTATTTCTCAATAGCTGGAAGAGAAGAATTGTACTGTCCCCAGCATAAAAGATAAATGAGGTGATGGATATCCCAATTACCCTGATATAATTATTACACATTGCACACAAGTATCAAAATATTACACTGTGCCCTCTAAAATATGTACAATCATGACATATCAATTAAAAAGACAGCAAAAGAAATGTGTGCTCCAAAGCATGAAAATGATGAGGCTCAAAATCTTAAATCTTGAGAAGATTTCTAGAAGCCATAACTTACCCATAACCCTCTACAAAATTCACAAAGGAATCTCAGATCAGAGAGGTTACAAGTATTCAAATAATCATTTCAAATGCTCTGAAAATTTTATAAAAATCCCCTTTAAATGTTGGAACAAAAGAATAGTGTAAATGTTTTCCTGGTACTTCATAGCAAATTTAGATAGACTTGGAAATTATAGAAGACACGTGAAAAATGAACTAAAAGAGTCAAGTATGTTAATCAAATTTCTTTGTACATCAAAGGCCAGGGTTATTCCAGGTTCTTTGTAAATTTGCATTCTGATGAGCATTAGTCCTTATCTGCAGCTCTTGAGAGAAAAAAGTATCTAAACTATGACAAAATTAGGGACGTATAGTAGAAAAGAATAAATTGAATTTTCACTTCGACTTCTTTGCAATTATAGGAAGCTATTTACATTATAGGTATCAGATAGGATCATTCTCATTCACTGAACAATAAAATTCCTCTGCCATTAGCAGACATTTCATTAGCTACACTTTGACATTCATTATCTCTTCCCAGCAATATCCAATTTATTCCCTTTATAATAACTCTTCACTGTGTTAAATCAATACCATGATATTGCCCATCCATTCATGTTGTGCTAAAGAGTATAAATTGAAGTACTTTGTATTAATAGTTGAGTTGAAATACACTTTAAGAGGAATGTGAAAATTAGGGATTAAACTTCAAAATTCATAAAACTGATTGACTTTTTAACTACAATTTGAGGGAGCACAGAGTCAGTAAAACAAGTGCATTTATTCATCTGCTTCAGTATATTGCTGCAGCAACAACTTGATTGAAACAGCCCCTTTAAATGTTTTCATCAATTATGCAGGTTATGGAATACAAAAGAAACAGAAATTCAACACCTCTATTGTTTTTAATTCAAGTGATATATGTTCAGGTTTGTTAGTGAGTATATTGCATGATGGTAAGAACTGGGCTCCTTCTAAGCCTGTCACCCAAATAGTGAGCATGGTACTCAATGGATAGGTTTTAAACCCTCTCCCCCTCCCTTCTTGGTCACTTTGGGAGTCCCTAGTATATCTCATTTTTATGTCTGTGTGTAGCCAGGGTTTAGCACACTTACAGGTGAGAACATGTTATTTTCAACTTTCTGTTTCTGCGTTAATTCACTTAGAATAACGGCCTCCAGCTGCATCCATGTTGCTGCAAAAGACATGGTTTTGTTCTTTTTTATGGCTGCATAGTATTCCATGGTGTCTATGTACCACATTTTATTTATCCAATCCACCACTGATGGGTGCCTAGGTTGGTTCCATGTCTTTGCTATTGTCAGCAGTCAAAAGCAAAGATGATTCCTCCCCTGGTGTCAGAGAGCCCTGGACTGCAGAAACACATTCATGCAGGCCATCAACATGTTGAGGAAGGATGAAGTCCCTTCCCTTCCACCCTCTCAGGATGCTGCTCCAACCCTCCCGCCTCTTACTGCCTCCTCAATCACACTCCTTTCCTCCATACCTAGACAGCCAAGGCCCGAACCCTCACCATTTGATCCATCGCCAACCCCAGTGACTCCCTGCTTCCTCCTCATGAACAAGCCCTCCTCCCCAGCTGTCCCCATTCCCGGTCAGGCTGGAAGTTCAGACCAACAGAGGTGAGATGATGGGGGAAGGGAAGTAGCCTCCACAAAGTGGGTTTGTGACAGGCCAAGGCCCAGAGCCAAGGTGCCCGACACCTGCCAGTCCTTTTCTTTTTTAAAAACTGAAGGGACACCAAAGTATTATCCAATTTATTCACTTTTGTTAAAAGTTATGGTTTTTACTCATCTTACTATCTTAGAAGCAACCTATCTTAGAAGCAAGAATTATTATCACCAATTCTTAGGAATAATAATGACACTGGTCCTACAGAATGGTAGCATCCTGAAGGACTGGCTGCAACGTACTTTCAAATGGTTCAGGGCAAAAATGCACACACATGGCAAATGCTAATTGCTAAGTGATGGGACTGAAGGTGTTTGTTATACTTTTATTTCAAATTTTCTGCATGTGTGAAATTTTTCAGCCAGGTGCAATGGCTCATGCCTATAATGCCAGCATTTTGGGAGGCCAAGTTGGATCACTTGAGGGCAGGAGTTCAAGACCAGTCTGGGCAACATAGTGAGACCTTATCTCTACAGAAAAATCAAAAAAATTAGCCGGACATGGTGGTGCTTACCTGTAGCCCCAGCTACTCGGGAAACTGAGTAGCAGTAAACTGTGATTGTGCCACTGCACTCCAGCTGACACAACAGTGAAATTCTGACTCAGAAAAAAAGAAATTTTTCATAATAAAATTTGAAGGACAAAACAATCTAGGTTCATTTCAGAAAAATAAGAAAATATAGACAAATAAGAAACTTTTAAGTCCATTATCCTGCCCAGGAGAAAATCACTTTTAAGAACTATTATAGGGCAACCCTTTCAGGTCCCCTCCCACTGTGGGAGCTTTTCTGTCCTTTTAATAAATCCTACTAAAAAAAAAAAAATATATATATATATATATGATAAGCCGGGTGCAGTGACTCGAGCCTATAATCCCAGCACTTTGGGAGGCTGAGGTGAGAGGATTGCCTGAGTCCAGGGTTTTCAAGACCAGCCTGGGCAACTTGGTGAGACCTTGTCGCTACAATAAATCAGAAAATTAGCTGGGCGTGGTGGTGTGTACCTGTGGTTCCAGCTATTTGGAAGGTTGGGGTGAAAGGATCACCTGAGCCCAGCAGGTTGAGACTGTGGTGGTCATGAGTGTGCCACTGCACTCCAGCCAGGGCAAAGGAGTGAGACTCCAACTCAAAAAAAATAAAAAGGAACTGTTATATATAATGCCAGACCCTAGTTTTCTAAAAAAAATGAATGACGTATCATACACACTGTTTTGCAGTTTATTTCTTTTATGTCACAACGTATCTTAAACCCTTTCAGATCAATAGGTTATTTCTGGAACATCATTTTCAGTAGCCTCATAGCCTTTTATTACATGGATATCAAAGCACTTTCTGACCATGATCTACAGTTCTATTCCCCCTAAAGTTGAGCCAAGGAAAAGGAATACAGCAGCAGCCCTAGCTCGGCCATCAGAACATCAGAATCTTTGATACCAGTTTCTAGCACGTGTTGAATGAGTCTTGAAAATAGCTGGTTTGGGGACTGGCTGTTAAAATAATGAGTTTTGAAGAAATAGCTGCTGTGGAGGAAAGCTAAAAGGGTTTGTGCGCTCTGCCCTGAGCCTCAGTTTCTGCCGCTAGAAATGATCTCCAGGCTTCGGTAGTCAGGTGTGCCCTGTGGGCCAGCAGACCCACCTGATACGAGATCCCCAGGTGAGTCATAGGCCGATCTTGAAGGTCTCTTGGGCTCCGACCATCTACACTTCTCTAGATAGAACCTCGAATGCGTAAATATTCCATCATGAAGCACATAAGTCTTCCAAGTAAGTGGTGAAGTATCTCTCCCCTCTGCTGGCGAGAGGAACAATCTCCGGGATAACCTCCCCCTCACCCCCCAAGCTGGTTTCCATGGGGCCTTCTTCCTGTGAGAGCCCAAAGAAGGGCTGAACAGTGAACCAACAGCATGTTGAGTCTTTGGTTGTTTTGCCTGGGTTAGTGATCTATCCTCTGCAGAGACTCTCAGGGGAGAGGGGAAAGGAGGAGTAGGTGGCCAAGTGGAATAGCCCTCCAGCCAGAAAGCCTGGGTGACTGCCTACAACAAGCACCAGGAGCGAGGGCCCCACCTGAGTCCCCATGCTGAAAGGTGACTGAGGTGAGACCTGGCATCAACTGAGAGGTCCTCTGTCCCCTGCCATGTGGGCAGTGCCCACCCCAGGTGGTGACCCAGTGCAGAAAAGCCAGGTGGCTGTGCCAAGCAGACCGTAGGGAATCACGTGGGAATTGTTGTTCAGACAAAGAAAACCTAGCAGAGGTCAGGCCTAGAGCGTAGAGGTGAGAAGCAGGTTCCAGTTGATTCCTTTGTGGTTTTAAGGATCATATGAGCCAGGATCTCCCAAAGCTATTATTTCCTAAATAGCAGCTGTGCTTCTGCAGACGAAGGATGGACATCAGCATGGGAAGAGAAGTCGGAAGGCAGGGAGGTGTGGAAATGGGGGACATGGGCTTCCCTGCAGGCCTCAGACAGGTTCTTTTGTTAGACCAGCTAAACCCAGAAGCTGGTCACACCTTTCTTTAATTTGTTAAACTCCTTTCATTGATAAAACCACATTGTTTACTTTTTTAAAACTACAGCCGGGCTCAGTGGCTCAGCCTGTAATCCCAGCACTTTGGGAGGCCGAGGCTAGTGGATTGCCTGAGCCCGCAGGTTCGAGACCCGCCTGGGCAACTTGGCGAGACCTCATCTCTACAATAAATAAAAAAAAGAAAAAAAAAACTGGCCAGGCATGGTAGTGCGTGCCTGTAGTTCCAGCTACCTGGAAGGCTGAGGCGGAAGGATCACTGGAGCCCAGCAGGTTGAGGCTGCGGTGGCCGGGAGCGTGCCACTGCACTCCAGTCTGGGCGACAGAGTGAGACTCTAACTCAAAAAAAAAAAAAAAGTTTACTATTTGATGAACCAAATAGTCATAAAAGTTGGGGATGCCAGTGACTCTTCACACGTCACTGCCATAGCACGCTTGCTCTTGGCATACCCAGGAGTGTGGTGGCAGCATTGCCGATAAATCGGGTAAATCGGTGGGCAAGTCTAACCAGTGTGAGTGCATTACCATAATGAGCAGAGCTGGTGTGGTCTTGGCTGCCAGCTTTCCTGCATGGCCTCTCCCATGGCCTCTTCATGTGTGAGCTGCCTCTCATGGCATGGCTATGAGATAGCAGCCCACCATTCACTAAAAGTGACTTAATAAATCCAATGAGATAGCAGATATCCGTGTGTGTTTTGTTTTTTGATGAAGGAACTAGCAACTTAATGAAGCTCACAAACACCATGGAGTCCATAAAAACCAGGCAGTGCTGGGTGTGGTTTTTTCATGTGCCTTGCTGGCTCACCCGACAGCCACATAGAAGCAAGCCTGATGCTCAAATGAGGATGACTCTCTGCAGTACAGGCCCCCCTTCTAAGTCAAACTGCTCCCAGAACCCAAAGTACATCCTGTAGTTGGCATCTGGACGTCCATGAACTTCCTTCGTGAATGGGGAATGGAGCAGATTGAAAAGAACCTCGGTTGGCGAACAAGCTCCGTGCAAGGAGCCAGAGTCTATTCCCGGGACCAGGAGCGGCCTGTGATTGCCATGCCGTGATCAAGCCCTCTGTGATGCTTCTGCCTTTGCTTAATTGACCCAGTTTTGAAGCCGTTTGTTCTTTTTCCCAGTTCTTGGTAAAATCAGGAGTGCCGTCGGGAGCGCCCAGCTGCTCATGTCCCAGAAATTCCAGCAGTTTTACTGGCTTTGCCAACAGAATATGGTAAGTGAAACCTCGGAGAGCCTGGACTCCTTATAACTGGGTGGATGGGTCCCTTCTTCATGTCCTCACGGCTTCCTTGTTTGTTAAAGACGTCCTACCAGCATGCAGACTATGGAGTGAATTTACAATGGAAGCACTTCCCTGCTCCGGGGACAGATGACTTTGCCTGGCTTAAATGTGCCACCAAGGCAGAGAGGCTGTGAGGGGAGGGTAGATGGTGGAAGAGGTAGCTCAGGGAGAGGCTGGGAGTGGAGGACATGGGCAGGAAAGTGGGATTCCCGGCAGTTTGGTATGAAGCTGCATCTTCACAACTGGACTTTATACCAAGAATGTCAGAAGAGGAGACGAAATGAAAATTGCTATTATGACTAATGTCATAGAGAAAATGATCCAATGTAGCTGAGAAAAAAAACACATGAGCAACTATATTCCAGAGATTAAGAAGAGGGTTTAGAAGTAATTTAGCCTTAGCTGGACGTGGTGGCACATTCCTGAAGTTCCAGCTACTTGGAAGGCTGAGGCCGAAGGATAGCCTGAGCCCAGCAGGTTTAGGCTGCGGTGGTCATGAGCATGCCACTGCACTCCAGCCTGGGCGATGTAGTTAGACTCTAACTCAAGGGAAAAAAAAAAGTAATTTAGCCTTTATATTTTATAGTCAGGAGACAAATATACCATGAACTAGATTTGTTAGTACAGTTGGTAATTAAACCTGATTCTTCCTGACAATCAAAGGGAAAGAAAAGGCATACATATATGTCTGTATATACTTACATATAGGGGGTGCCAAAAGATGCATACACATTTTAAGTATGATGTCCGTGCAAAAGATGGCATTAATCAAATGAATGCTAGTGTCAACATGCGACAGTCAGGACGGTCAAAGAACGGTGGAATCACAGTTGAGTGAACATCATACTACACATTGCTATCGTAATTTTTTTTTTTTTTTTGCTACCATGCCCGGCTGATTTTTTTATTTATTGTAGAGATGAGGTCTCGCTGCCCAGGCGGGTCTCGAACCCGTGGGCTCAGGCAATCCACTCACCTCAGCCTTCCAAAGGCGCGGGATTACAGGCTGAGCCACCGAGCCCGGCTGCTACCGTAATTTAATTCAACTTCGAAAGTAATACTATAGATAACATCTCTTAAAATGTGTTTACATTTTTGGACACCCCCTGTATATACATATTAATATATATACATTATATATATACATGTTTATTTATTTATGCTATATATAGTTACATACACAAGTACATACATATGGGGTGCCAAAAAATGTATACACATCTTTAAGAGATGTTATCTATGTATTACTTCTTGTCTGCTATAATCAGAAGAGTCTGGATGCTGACAGTAACTACTTTGAGCATCTCTTGTAGGGTCAAATGTACTAGTACTCATCTTTTGTTATCAGCATATATTGAGTCTTACAGTTTTAATATAGTTTTTTCTTTCTTAAAATGTGTATACATTGTAGCCAGGCACAGTGGCTCATGCCTGTAATCCCAGCACTTTGGGAGGTAGAGGCGAGAGGATTGCCTGAGCACACAGGTTCAAGACCAGCCTGAGCAACATGGTGAGACTTTGTCTCTACAATAAATCAAAAAATTAGCTGGGTGTAGTCGCGCACGCCTGTAGTTCCAGCTACTTGGAAGGCTGAAGCAGAAGGGTCATCTGAGCCCAGCAGGTCAAGGCTGTGGTGGCTGTGAGCAAGCCACTGCACTCCAGCCTGAGCAACAGAGTGAGACTTCAACTCAAAAAAAAAAAAAGTGTATGCATTTTTTAACATTCTCTATATGCTTTTCTTTAGCTGACTAAAGAAAGCATTAACTTAATTTCATAAAAAATAGCTATATAGTATTCATGTTACTTGATAGACTGTTCTGTAATCCATACATTGATTTTTTTTCCAGACCAAACATTTTCAGTAAAATGCAAATAGGTCTCTGCTAGGCTCTCATAGCAAAGTACTTTGATTATGTTTTGTTTTGTTTTTTTAATTTGCAAAGAGACATAAGAATGATCTTATACATCAAAGGAAGCACAAGCATGTCAGAGTTGTCCACTCATGTCTTTAATTAGGATCATTAAAAAAATATAACTCCTCTCATATTTTCCAATTAACCCCATTAAAGTTCATTGTGCAATTTAAAGAGTTACCAACATGTCACTGCAACAGAGTTCTAGTCAACCTTCAAAAGGGGGCAACAAGAAAGTTTTGAATTCTGTGAGAGAAACACGTAGCTGTGTAAACACTCAGTTGTCATGTTTCCTGTGAATGTGGGGTCTGCTTGTTTATTCCTTTTAAAGGGACTGATGGAGACTGCGCATTACAGACACACAGTCAGCCTGGGCAGGCACAGTCAATAGAAACGCGTCATTCATAGCATCCTGCGCAGGCAGAATGCACTTTTTCTCTCTGCCAGAAGTAGCTAATATTAGACCTAAAATTACTCATTCTAATATAGTTGATGCCTTTTGAATTTTGAAATATCTGGCTTGGCTGCATCCTTTTATTTTGGCTTCTATTCAGGATTAGTACCCAAAAAACTCTGCTAGATATTTTGCTAAAGAGTTGGGGTGGAGGGAGATGTCAGAGACAGGCTCGGCAGGAGAAAAACGCTGAAAATATTAGCAGGTGTTCTCTCATCAAAGCCAGACTGTCCACAGTTGAGAGTCACATTGCTAGCTGCTTTCGGCAGGTAACTAAGCTTCAAGTCACAGGAATGACCCTAAAAAGTGTCAGAACCCCACCCAGATGTCCAGGATGGACTAACGAAGGGACGTTCTTCGGGTGAGGATGTGCAGTGGTCCGTGCCGTAGCTCGTACGCAGGTGATGCTGGCAAGAGTCTCCTCAAAGCCTGCAGCGTGACTCCTGTGCATGTGGGACCAGCAGCTGGCATCCCCAGGAATGCTGCTAGACACGCAGAGTCGCCTTCAGACCTCCTGATCCTGACTCGCATCTTAACCAGACCCACACGGGAGGTGGGAGGGCCCAGGCACACCGCTGACACGCAGAGATGCTCCAGGCTGGAACAGGGTCATCCAGTTCATAGCAAATGGACTGTGGATGTCAGAGCTGGGAGCTGTATGGATTTTAATTGACTGCAATTGAGCACGGGAACATGGCCCCCGCATGACTTTGCTGGGGCAGGGGAAGTGGCACAGCACAGCCACTGGCATGTTTAAAAGCTTATATCCTCCTCCCCGAGTGTCCAGTGGGTGCAGATACAAACCTCCCCGACAGAAGAGCACGGAGGATGTAAAAACGAACCCCGACGGTGCCAGGCAGCACCAATCCGGCCTCCGCCTGTGGCCTCAGGGAAGCCTAAGGATGGTGTTCGCCATCCCAGGGGGTAACGAGGGAAGACCGGCTGCTCAGGCCAAGGGGAGACTCAGGAACAGCGGCTCAGTGTGTCCCTTCTGGTCTTCACTTTGGAGACTGACCAGAAGTCTGCTGGCTGGGAAGAGAAGGCATTCGGCCTTCCCCGGATGCTCAGGCCCCACCACGCCTAGACCTGCAGAGAGAGAGAGAGGGAGAGGGTTCTTGCCTTTGTAAGGACTTCCAGAAGACAGGCTCTCACAGCCTCCCTCACACAACAGGGGGCCTTCACAGGAATTCTCGGGTCCTTGCACTGGCCTGGCCTCCCTGCCTTGGAGCCCGCTTGGGCCTCCTGTGACATCAGGGCAGTACACGGCCCTTTTTGCAAGGTGTTTCATTTTCCTTCACCAGCAGAGGCCAAATTCGGACTCCATACACATCAGTGGAGCATGACTCGCGGGCTGGTGGTCCTGAGGTTCCCTCCCCTAAGCCCCCTGTTCCTTAGGAGACCCTCCATGCACTGGCCTGGGTTTGGGTGGCCCGAGGCTGCCCTCTTGTGGCTGCAGAGAAGAACAGGCTCTGCAGAGCGGAAGGCTCAGGACCAGCTCCACCTCTGAGGAGTGCAGGGCTGTCCCCAAAGGTACAGCTGTCCTCAGCCTCCTCTGGTGGAGCAGGCTGCCCTCGGGTGAAGTCCAGAAGGAGGGCCTGAGAACCAGAAGGTGAAGGTTTTGATAGGGGCGGCCTCCTAAGGTAGGGGACCTGCAGCCAGACCCGGAGAAGCCATGTTATGATGCATATGTGAACTACCAGGGAGTGAGCTGGAAGTTGTCAGCAAACGCATACAAATATCACCACCAGACATGTTCCCAGTCATGTTAAGCCCCCATTGAATCAAGGGACTCACACCTGGAAAAGTCATTCAACTTCGAATGTCTTCCAGCAGAGAGGCACATGTGTCGAAGGGCCCATCTGGCCCCCGTGGGCTTGGTGGCATCTGCTATGCCTTCTCAGTGTGGGAACCCATCGGTGGCATCGTTCCCGAGGCATACTTTCCTATCCTCCCTCTACATAGGAGTAAGCTAGATGCATGCTACATGTGTCAGGTGTCATCGCCTGTCACTAGAGCTAAGCTCCCTCAGAGAACAAATGCGGAGAGATAAAGCCAGCTCCAAGCCCACTCCCTGGCCACCCACCACACCAGTGCCACGGGAGACCCTCAGCAGACCCATGTCCCTGGTCCCCTCCAAATAATCCACCGGTGACCAAAAACACAGGGCCTATTGCTCTCATGAGCTGTTCAGGTATTTAGACATTTTCCTACAACCACCGTTTCCGGCATTTTCAAAATGGAACCAGGAAGGCTGTGCTGCTTGCTGTTAAGCTGTCAGCAAACGCTGGGGCTGTGTGAGCTGTTGGGAGTCACCTGAGCCTCCTCATCGATGTGTCTCAGGTGGGCACTAACCGGCTTCTCCCCAGCCCTACTCAAGAGGGCACGAGGAGGACAAGCGGCGGCCCACCTCTGCCCCCGGAGACTTTCCCAGTCCTGAACTTCCCTCTGTACACAGGACCCCAGTGCCATGCCAAGGCCGACATCACAGGACCTGGCCGGATACTGGGACATGCTGCAGCTCTCCATCGAGGACGTGAGCATGAAGTTCGACGAGCTGCACCAGCTGAAGCTCAATGGCTGGAAGGTCATGGAGTCGCCGGAGAGAAAGGTAATGGCACTGCCCACGGTTCCTAACCCCAGTTCAGCTGCAGAAGTGGTCTGCATGGGGTGGGCTTCCCGGCCTGTGGAGAGCAATACAGGATCCAATTTTCATGTATAGATGTATGTGTCTCTGTGTGTGTGCGCACGTGTGTGCATGTCCATGTGCCTGTGCACATGTGCACAAACTGGGTTGGAAGCGAAGGATGGTAAATGACAGTGTCTTCCTTACTCTGTCTCTCACATAGGCAGTTCAGAGATACACTGGTCAAAATCACCTCGAAATCTGTGGTCTCATTTTGTGTAGGGATCCAGCCTCTAAATTATTTTCATCAACCCTTTGTTTTGGTTGTATTAAGCTTTCCACGGGGAAAGTGTTACGTCTGGTTATGATGACTGTCTCCTCTTCAGATAAACCTTCTGGCCAGGTGCAGGGGCTCACACCTGTAATCCCAGCATTTTGGGAGGCTGAGGTGGGAAGACTGTCTGAGCACAGGATTTTGAGACAAGCCTGGGCAACATAGTGAGACTTTGTCTCTAAAAAAAAAAACAAAAATCCAAAAATTAGCCAGACGTGGTGGCGTATGCCTGTAGACCCAGCTACTCAGAGGCCAAGGCAGAAGGATTGCCTGAGCTGAAGTGAGCCATGATCGAGCCAAAATCAAACCATTGTACTCCAGCCTGGACAACAGAGTAAGATGCTGGCTCAGAAAAATACCTAAGTATACCTTCTAGTTGTACGTCTGCAGTTAGAGGCAAGATGACATTTTAAACCTTACTGAGCAGTTTGATGACATAATCTTTCTATAGATTGATCAGCTTCAGCCCTTAACATAAGCTGAAAATTCCCACTAAATTTGAACCCTGGTATTTCACTCCTTCCATGATGCCATCATTGTTGGTAGAACTAGAAGAGAGGTGTGAGTTAGCAATAAATACATTGATTTCCTAATTCATTTTAGGGAAGTTCTGAGTCATCATAATCTGATCTTTCTAGACAAATGTTACCAATTAAAAGAAAATAATAAGGAAAGTTAACCCCACCTACTTTTGAGAAATGGTGTTTCACACATAGCAAGGATACACACCTGGGTAACTGGAACAAGAGCCATTATAGGGCGTCCTCATCATCTCTTCCCAGAAGATGCCGCTGGTCGATAGGTGTTCCAGGCTAGATACATAGGTCCCATTGCGGACAACCTACAAAGTGCCTCTTGCCAGGCATGACGGAGTGGGGTGGGAATGCACAGGGTAGGATGTAAGCAAATCTGAATAACCTATGGTTTAGATTTGAAGTGGAGGAGACAATAAGCAACGCTCCCAAGTGGAAGGCCATTCTAATGGAATTCTAAAATAAAACTTGTTTAAATTATTCCAGGCCAGGTGCAGTGTGGCTCACGCCTGCAATCCCTGCACTTTGGGAGGCCGAGGTGGGAGGATTGTTTGAGCCCAGGAGTTTGAGACCAGCCTGGGCAACATAGTGAGAACCTGTCTCTACAAAAAAATTAGCTTGGTGTGGTGGTGTGTGCCTACAGTCCCAGGCTGAAGTGGGAGACCCAGGACGTTGAGGCTACACTGAGCCATGATCCTGTCACTGCACTCCAGCCTGGATGATAGAGTGAGACCGTGACTCTAAAACAAAACAAAATTAGTCCAAATTTGCCAGGCATGTGAAAAATCACTTTATACATATATATAAACACAGTCATGTCAAAGGGGTTTTAGGCCAATAATAGAGAATTTGGTCAATGTTCCCCTGGGCTGCCCACCCATTTAAGATGATGTTCATGAGCGTACTTTGAATCCCAAAGTCTGCTAAACACCCTGCAGCCACAATCAGGATGTTGAGTGACGACATCCAGATGTCCTGCAAGGCTCAGGGCTTGGTGTTGCAGGCATATATTCAGAGGTGACATGTTGCTTTGGAAAGTGTGGGAATCTGGCAAGTGTTAATCTAGCCGCAGTGCCAAAATAATTTCAAGGGCCACAGAGGTGTGAGATGCACATATGCAGAATGCATTTCCTTATTTGTAAACACGATCTATCCCAAAGTCCTCTGCCCCTTCTGAAAAACTTGAGGGAGCATGTAAAAATTATATACTGTGCAAAAAGTAGAGCTATCAGGATGGGGGTCAGGTACCGGGGGACCTTAAGTAGGACGAACAACTCCGCTGCAGGGTTTGCAGTCAGAGGGCAGGCCCCAATCCAGGATGCTAGGATTCAGGCTGTGGGTGGGTGCCCTGCCCTGACCATCGCCAACTTTGACTTCTGATGCTTTTCAGGAAGAAAGAAAGGTCCCCCCTCCAATACCAAAGAAGCCCCCCAAAGGGAAATTTCCCATCACAAGAGAAAAGTCCCTGGACCTGCCCGACAGACAGCGCCAGGAGGCCCGGAGACGGCTCATGGCCGCCAAGAGGGCCGCATCCTTCCGGCAGAATTCTGCCACCGAGCGGGCCGACAGCATCGAGATCTATATCCCCGAAGCCCAGACGCGGCTCTGAGGACGGAAGGAGGCCGCACTCCCTTTTCTGTTGTTTCTTTTTAGCAAAACGCCTGTACAGTTTATTGCCTACCTGGTCGCTTTTGTCTCATTTCCTCCTGACTCCGCCCTTGCTGTCGTGTTCCTTGTGCCATACACACAGTGGAATGCTATTGATTTCCTCAGAGTTTGCTGAGCTCGAGGCAAGAAGGACTCCTCTGGCTTTTCTAAAGATGCCTGATTTCGATGGGCTCTGCGGACAGGCTTGGCGAGACCTGACTGCTCCTCCTTGTTCTCAGAGGACACGAGAAACGCCTCTCGAGATGAAACCCAGCTCACATTTTGTTATTTCTATTTTTATAAATTGTGTGATAATTAGAGGTAAGAATAACAAATAACTATAAATGGGTGCATCTCACCACTCCCTAGAGGCATTAGACAACCCACGTGGAAGGTGCTACAACTCGAAGTGCAGAAAAGAGAGACCCGTTCCCCTCCTGCCACAAGCTCCGTCCGTTCCCCGAGTCTGGGTGACCCGTCCGCCCATCTCCGCCCGTCTCCACCCTCCCAGCCCTCTCTGTCACAAGTAAAAAGCATTAGGCTTCTTGTGTCAAGTTTATAGTGATGAAAAGTGATCTCTCCAGCCACCAAACTCCCTCCCACGTGGTTCTCCAAAACTCCAGGAGATTGCAAGTCTGAACCCACTAAAAATATCCAGCACAGCATTCACACATTTCTAGAAATAAGCTGAATGTTCCCACCTGGCAGAGATGTATGAACAGAGACGGAGCCTTGGAGAAAGCTGGGAGGATAAAGAGAGAAAAAAAAGTCCTTACTTCTATGAAATCATTATTATATTTTTTATTTCTTTGTAACTTAAAATATCACACCCAGTGTTTTAAGTTTCATCATTTATGCTACATGTGATTTTTTTTTTAAGTATGTATATATATTCTCAAATTGCTCTATCAGCTGACTTTCCAGGGTATTCTTAAAACAAAAAAAAGTTTGCTTGTTTAAAATGACAGTTGTGATGTTGTAAAAAGTTTAAGAAATATGAATGTGAGTGGTAAGTACATCTCAGTTTAAATGGTAAAGAAGAAATGCAGTTTACATTTGTATTTTTCCAGAATTCTTTTGTCCTATGCAGTATTGCTAAAGTCAAGAAACTATTTCTTGCCTGTGTTAGACATGAAGGGAAAAAGAGGTCACATATTGTGATTTCCAGCTGTGGAATTTAAAAAAGTAATTACTGCTCACGGCTCTGGTCGGCACCAGAGAAAATAGGAACGGCTAACGAATAGGCTTTCATGTGTGTAATTAAATTTGGATGCGGTAATCGTTGTTCCAACATGACTTCTGTATGGCAATTCAGATGCGTCTTCAGAAGAAACGCCTATTTGATGTCTCCATTTGATCCCAAGTTCAGAGCTCTCCCTGTTACTCGAGGGAAAAGCAGGATTGCGATTTAAGAGAGGTGTTTCTTCCAAAACACTAGGTCTTCCTTCCCGTGGCTTTCAGGAGTCCCTGGTTACTCACAGGCAGAACGGCTCTGACTACCCGGTAGCACTTTGTTTTCTTACCCTGATTCGCACTTTAAAATGTACCCAGCTCCCTGCAGCCCGACACTTACCCGGAGCTCGCGAGGTTGCACCACTGGGCATTCTGTAAGACTGCGGTGTTTCCTTTCTCATCCTCTACATTCCACTGAGCATGGGTCCTTTGGGAGCAGAGTTGATACTAAAGCATGTTTAGCTTCAAAGTTTTACTTTTTTAAAGCTGAGTAGTTAAGAACTCCCTGTAAAACAAAACCCTGTAAATTGAGCCTCCTATCTGGTATATATTTTACCAAACAGCCTTAAAATATATTTGGAAGCAAAAATCAGTACGAATGTATATCCTTGAAAAATGCAAAAAAAAAAAAAAAAAATCCCTGAAATATTCTTCTATAAATGAATCCTATATCCCCAGAGTGTTCAAAGCATTTTTCTACCTAAATAAATACCTAAATCCTGAGTAGTGTACAATAATGATGCTTCTTCCTGTATTCACTCTAGTATGTTAAAAGCAAATGTATTTGCAAGTATTGGCATTTTAGAATTTAAAAATGATGTATCATTTAAGATGAACTGCTATTTAGAAGTAACCACAGAAAAGCAAAGTCTGGTTAAAGAAAATGTGGAATGGACATGTGCACGCCACCTAATTACACTGGTGTATCTACAGGCAGCTGATGTGTATAACTCATTTCCTTGAAATTATACAAAACATATAAAAACAAATTGTAACATTAGACAACAATTATTTGTCTTAGATCCCAGGTTCTATGATCCCAACTTGAAAGAAAATATTCACTAGATGTAGAGTAATTTTTTATGTTTTTGTATACTCACTTTTATCTTATAATTCCCAAAAGTCTTGGCCTAAACCATCCCCAGGTAAGCAAAGCAACCTACCACTACATTGTACAGGGGCCCAGGACCTGAGGTTGTGAATGTGTACATTCCCCTGTATGGCCCACCGCGTTCCAAAGAAGATACTTTAATGGTAGAAGGGATACCTGCTGCTAACTCTGATGGAGTGTTACCTGCTCATGTTACATAATTAAGTGCAATATATTCAGTTCTCATGCAGGTGACAATCTATCATGAAATGCAGAAGATAAGCCATGTTAATGTGTTGTACGTGTAAAGAAAAATAAAACCGTTTATGATACTTGTGTTATTCACTCAAGTTAGCTTATTTCAGTCACTTCTAGCAGATACATAATATAGAGCAATCACGTGATCACTTCACCACACTTAAAATATAATTTTAACAAAAGATTAGACCTAAATGTGAGAATATGGTTGAAAATAATAATGCACGATGTCTAGGAACATCATCATGAAAGAAAAGGTGTTCTCTATGACTCCACACCTGTATTCCCTAAAGCTACAGTCAGTGACTGGTGACACCCAAACGCTCCTTTAGAAATCACTTTCCTCACAGCCACAAGTAGGTGTCTTTGTGCTGGTGACTGTAGTTCACAAAACAAAACACAAGTATAATAAACAGGACCCTAGAGTTTAACCCAGGAAAGGAGAATGCCACTTGTAAACAAAGAGTCTTTCAGTGTAAATTCATCTCACACATCTTCATCTGTTATGGTTGTGTTTGAATTAAAACTCGTTGTCAGTGACAATTTTTACCATATTTTTCTCAGCAAACTCATATCACCATCCTAGAATGGTGTACAAAGGATCTAACTGTTAATGATACCAAAAATTACATTTTTGTTTCAAAGGAAATGTCGATATGTTCAACTCCAAATCAATTCTAAAGACTTCAAACATTTAATGAAAAGATGTGTATGATCAGGAAAAAATACAAATTATATCTAAAGTTGTCTCTTTACAAAACAAAACAAAAGCATAAAAATCAGTGACCTGCAAAGTAGACAGAACTTCCCGCTGGCTCTCACAACCGTGACCACGTTTATGATGAGAAGACGACACGGTGTCAGCACACACGAGTGCACAGGTTTTGGACTTTTCTCTTGATTGGGGCGGGAGGGCTGTCCTCCTTTGCCCAGTCTTGATTTCTGCTTTTCAAGACCATAGTGAGTTGCTGCTGCTCTCACCCCTTCAGTTAAAAGAGACTACATTTGTATTCCCTCATCTCTGTTGCTTCTGGCAGATAGTCACAGGCACCTTCACCCCGACCCAGGGCAGAATCCTTGGAGTAGCCAGGCGCTTTTCCAAACCTAGGGTAGAGGTGCCCGTGGTGACCATGAAGGCTGTTCATAGGAAGAGCACTCTGGTTTAGGCCACACCCTCTGGTGGCACATAGGGAGTGGGAGAGATGGGTACAACCTTTCACCTGGATTTTTCTATTGGCAATAGCTCGATCAAATCCAAAGCAGCCTACTATGGCCCGGTGGATGCAGGGGCCGGGGAACCTACAGGAGACATAGCTCATGCCTGAGCTGCTTTCAGGAATAGTCGTCAACCTCGCTCAAAATGCTAACAATTTCCCTAGAATATTCAGTCCAACGTGCCCTGTGCAGTTCAGCATGGGCTGACCAAGATCATCAGCAGGACCTTCCTTATTGGTGACAGTGGATCCCTCCATGAATCTGAGAGGGCGAGGCAGCAGGAAACAAGTAAAAGGATATGTTCCAATGCAAACGTAGAAAGGGCACCTAGACCCACTCATGGCCTACCCTTCTGAAACAGGGATGGTGCTGCCTCAAGCATAGAAACAAGTTCCTCCAAAATGGTCCCAAGTGGCTACATTCTGTGTATGTCATGTGTGCTCATCTTCCAGCCATCGTCTTCTCAAGGTTTGAACTTTTTTTTTTAACTGCAAATCTAACATGCTAGTTAAGACAGTGGTTTTCAAACTGTGCACCCTTAGAAGTCTCTGAGCTTCTCTTTTTTTTAATCTGCATGTCTGTTTATACTTCTTTGTAGGCGTGGGTTGAATACAGTGTTCCAAAACTTGAAAATAAAATAGAAAATCACAAGCTTAAGCTATCAAGATTATAATCTGTTTCTGATGAGTAAGTGTCTTTGACTTGGTGGGCTGGAGGAATGGGATCAGCTTGGTCCAGTCCACACTCCATCTGAACAGAGGCAAGAGACCCATCCTGTCGCTATCTGCTGAGAGCCACAACAGGCCCAAGGATAGGGCTTGCTCTCACACACTGTCAGTTAAATGCCTCTGGCATGGGGGCTGCAGAGTATTTCTGAAACACAGGAGATGTTGCCAGGAGACTCCAGGCACCTGGTCGGGCAGCCTGCCCTTCTTGTGTCTCAGTGTTCTCCTCCATAAAAGGGATTACAGTTCCTGTCCTTGTCCCCTCACAGATGCACTGTGAGGATTAATGACATATTGACTCTAAAGTCCTCTGAGCCCTGGAGGCAGGTGGGAGAGTGTGAGTTATTGTCAAGGATTAGGGCTCTGGCCTCTCCTAGCATGCTGTTCTCTCGGCTCTCATGGGACGTCACAAAGGTCTAGGCAGGTCACAGATGTCTCAAAGAGGATCAAGACCACCAGCGGCAGAGGCAATGAGACTTGCTTTGGAAATGGAGAAATAACTACAAGGGTATTCTCCTTTTTTCTTTTTCTTTTTTCTTTTTTTTTTTGGCTTTGATTTCAAGTGTTTCTAGATGCTTTCAAGAACAACCCAGCACCAAGAAATATGGCCTAAAATTAGACCATATTTTCACCTAACTCAGCTGCCTCTTAGAGAAAATGAAGAGATATTAAACTAAATATTAAAGTAAACAAGAACAAAAATAATATGGAAGCAGAAAATGGTACATATGGGAGATACCAAGAATCAACCAAAACCGCCCCAGGTTTGTGAAACCTACTCCCCTAATTCCAGCTTTCTATAATTACTCTATTTCACACTTCAGAGAATGTGGAAGTGGTCCATGGGAACGCTCTGAGAAATAACCATCTTTCATCCTTGCCACGCTGAAAAAGGCCCATAATTTTCCGAATTGCTGTCCTCACCCTGGCGTTTTTATCCAGTGTTAAATGAAATTATTTCAAGTTTCAATCTAAACACTTGACAGGTGACTTATTTGCAGAGGAAATGTTGGTTACCTACTATAAAACTATTTTATAAAAAGATTTTGTATATACACAAACTAGGGTAACAGAGGTTTACCTCCCTACTTTCCTAGATTTTATGTGACTCTTTTCATTGGTGCTTAGTCCAAACCTGAAAGACTTGGGCGTCCAAGCTTTTATACTCGGTGGCGAAGAAGCGATAACAAAATATTTGCACCAGGTTCCTTGTACAATCTAGGTACAAATGTCTCTCCTTCAGATAGACCATAGCGTGCATTGATTCACGTCTGCTAGCAGATGGGGGAAGTTCCAGGACTGGCTGTGGTACTTTCCAGAAGCCACTCACCCATTCTTGTTACCCCTCGTCACCACCACGACCAGGCCCATTTTACGATATGATCGTATTACTTCCCAAGGGCTCTGCATGAATGTCTCCCTCACGCCACTTCCTAACCAGTTTGCTGAATTCCAAAAGGTTTCCTCTTCGGAGTAGTGAGACCTAGGCTGCTTTTGAACTCTCATTTCGAGTGACGAGTCACTTGACTCTCTTATGGGCCTTCCCTGCAGAAAGACACGACTCATTCACCCCTTCTCATACTATATGCCAAAATACCCAGGTGTGGCCTAAGGACTAAACTAAATGCCTCCTGTAGAAATTCAAGGAATGTTAGTACCAGGACACTAGCTGTTTAGTTAAAGTTTTTTTTTTAAGTATATAAATATATATGTATAAATATACATATGAAATCATATCAGCAATGAGGATGAACAGAGTGCCAAATATTCCACATATGTACAGAGTTCCAACTTCACTGGAATTAAACTATTTTATGTAATTCTCTTTCTTATGCTTTTCTGGTTCTTTGGATAAATTCTCTTTAGTAGCATGCCGGGTACCCAATCTGAATATACAGTACGCTACTCACCACCACAGCAACTTGCTGTTTCTTCTTCATAATCAGAATGTCGGTCATTCCTTTAAGGCATTGAAGGATTGCTTGATTTGAGTTATCTTTTTCCACAACTTCTTTTCACTCGCAGCTGACTGGGAGAAAACCGCACTCACCATTCGCTCCATGGCTCTCCTATGATGATGCCGCCTCAATTCAGTTTCTGTACTGCTGATGTTCGCCTCCTGTAAATAGTTCTACAATTAAATTTTTTGAGAAAAGTGATGCTTACTTTTTTATTGGAGTGGATTCTCATGTTATTTTAAACTAAGAAAAACTATATAGACCAAAGAGTTTTATCCAAAAGAAATTACTCTTCCTCCATGATATACTTCGTTGTTGAACTATCGTCAATTTCTCTATATTTTAATAAGTCGTGGACATTTACTAAGGCTACAAATTTAATATGTAGGCAAAAGTGGTATAGACTAAATGAGTTTAAAATTAATAAGTCCTACAGTATTTAGTTAATGGTTGTTTTACGCTCCTTTCAGTTGCAATGGAGAGACCCATGTTAGATCATTGTCCTGACCTCATGGATCCAGGTTCCCGTGAGGCAGGGTGGGACATGGTCTTGACAGTGTAACTCCCAGGAGGAAAAGTGGGCTGCAGACCCCACTTAGTTTTGAGGCGCTTTGACATACCTTGAAGCATCTTGAGGCACTGGGTGTCAGGATGGACTATGGCTTCATTGCTCTGGGGAAATCATGGCTTCTCTGTCCATCACTCATCAGGTACGCCTGCGTTTCCTGCTCCTGCCCTGTTGTCAACTAGTTACCCTGCCCTGAGTGAGAATCCCTGCTATCTCCTGGCTCCATTGCCCTCTCTGCTCCCATTCCTGGGCTTTAGTGCTGTGCCCTGTGGACAGCTCCCTCTCTGGGCATTGCTACCCATCCCCCAGGGGAGTGCAGACCAAGTTCTCCCGGACACTCAGATCCAGCAACCCCTCCCCATGCTCGGCAGGGATAGTATTTCATGTATTTTTCCACAGTTCTTTTTCCTTAGCATACTCTGACCTCTGTGACTTTCTGGGGAAAGATCATGGAGGAGGCACAGTGAAGAAAAAGGGTCTAGTGAGTGTCAGGCCTGGGAAGACCACTTTCTAATTTCCCCAGTGCATTATAGACCATCAGGTGAGAATTTCTATGAAGTACATGAATACTAGCATAACAGGACTGCTCGGGAAATTGAACTCATTCACAAGTTCTTTCTATTTAGCTCAATTACAGTCATGATTTGTAAAATTTTTCAGTTAAGAAATTGAGTTGAGAACACATATTTAATATGTTAGTCTTTCACATACCATGTTTCTTTTTATAACACACAACTAGCAAAAAGAAAGCTTTATATATTTTTCTTTTTTAGTCCCATAATCCTTCAATAAAAGTTTTAATTTACTTGCCATTTCATTTTAAATTTTGTACTTTCATCCACAATGTGGTTTAACATTATTATTCTAGAAGTCAGTAAAAGTACAAAAAAGCAGTATGATATTCATTTTAAATTATGACAAGATAAGTTTTTATTTATAGAACCTTTTAAGTAAAATCAAGGGGCAGATATATGAGAATTTCCAGTTTCTTGTCCAGCATGTAAGGACCTTAGAAATCACACTCTGTCCTCACAAGAAAAAAGCTGAACAGGTTGAAAATCAGCGATTCTTTTTAGAGCCATAAAAGAACTGATGTCACAGGGCAAGCAGTTGCCCCCAAAAGTAGAGAGACAAACATGGTAGGTACAGAGAATCACAGCTCACAAGGCCCAGGAACAGAAACATCATGGAAACAAGTGCTGGTGTAGAAATACCTGAACTGTAATTGGCAAATTTTGGAGTTCAACATGGACAAACTTGTGAGATTAAAAACTCCAGTGGGAGTCAGTCTTAGAAGACCCCCACACTTTTGGGTTTTTCCTACAGGAGCCCCACCAGGTTCTCAGGGTGTAGATCACAGAAAAATACCCTTGCGCTTCCAGCAGCGAGAGGGGGAAATTAGCCATTTTGAAATATTCCCAGAACATTCTGTTCAGCTTATGAATAGCCTGCCCTCAAGGAAAATTATGCTACTAGAATCTAACACACTTGGGTTTTTCTAGTGTCTGAACTACCTGGGGGAAGGGAAATACCCAATGCCAGCCCCCTCTAGCTATCCTGTCCCATCTAAGGGTGACGGGAAAGGAAGAAGGACTTACAAAGATCAGAGCTCAGGGCACAGGCTCACGAAAGACTGAGACCAATCACAGGACAATAGAATGTTTCCCCTCCCTTACTGTCACATCAGTAGTGCTTTGGTTTAATAAATGGCAGAATACAACTGAAGGAACAGCAAGTCTCAGACTTTATTAAAGAAAAAGTTTCTAGGGGAAACCAAAGACAACTGGGAAAACAAAACCAAGGATGCCATAGAAAACTTTAGTGTCTAACACTACAGCTACAGAAAATAGTAAGCACTGCCTAACTCCTAGCCATAAAAGCATAAAACCTCACACTGAAGACCTATCTACCTCAGTTCCTTCTATGCAATATATCATGTCTGACTTTCAACAAGAAATGACAAGGTATAGTAAAAAACAAAAAACACAGTTTGAAGAGACAGAGAAAGCATTTTAGCCAGACTCAGATATGATAGAAATGCTGATATTATCAGACCAGGAATTCAAAACAACTATGATTAGTATGCTAAGGGTTCTAATGCAACATGCAAGAACAGATAATGTAAGCAGAGAAATGGAAACTCTGAGAAAGAATGAAAAGGAAACAGAGAATAGCTAAGAACTGTGGGACACTCATCAAAAGTGGAACTTGTGTGTAATGAGAATACAGAAGGCAGAAGAAGAAAAAAGAGAGAAAAAACGATGTGAAACAATAATGACTGAGAATTTCCCAAAATTAGTAGTAGACATCTAACACAGATGCAGGAACCTCAAAACCAAAAGATAAATTCCCAAGAACACCAAGCACACTAAATTTAAAAAAAAAAAAAAAATCTACACTTGGCTATATCATATTCAAACTGCAGAAAATCAAAGACAAAGAGAAAATATTGAAAGATGTCAGAGGGGGGAAAAAAACACATATAGCTGAGCAAGGCTAAGAATTATACTGGACTTCTCTCCAGGAACCATGCAAACAAGAGGAAAATGAGTGAAATACTTACAGTGTTGAAAGAAAAAGTCATCAACCTTGAATTCTGGATCCAGTGAAATTATCCTTCAAAGTGAAAAAGAGATAAAGATAATCTCCAGCAAACAAAAATTGATGGCATTTGTTACCAGTAGATACTGAAAGAAACATTCAAAGAAATTTTTCAGAGAGAAGGAAAATGATATAGATCAGAAACTTGGATCTTCATGAAGGAAGAGTGTTTGGGAAAAAATAAATGAAGGTAAACAAAAACTTTTATTTTTATTATTCATAAATGATCTAACAAACAACAGTTTGTTCAAATAACAATAGCAACAAAGTAGTCAATGGTTACAGCTTACAGATATCTCAAATAAATGACAGCAGCATTATAAGGGAAGGAAAGGAGAGATTGGAATACTCCATTATCAGGTACTTGCACTACCTGTGAGGTGCTATAGTGTTATTTGAAAGAGGACTTAAATTAGTTTTAAATTTATTTTACAAACTTCTAAAATATTTTAAAAGAAGTATAATGACAGGCTAAGAGGAAAGAGAAAATGGAATTATGTAAGATACTCAATTGCAACTAGAGAAGGCAAAAAACAAGTGAACAAAAAAAGAAACAAAGAATAAGGGCAAAAAATAGAAAATAACAAATATGGTACCTATCAACCTAATATCAATAATTACTTTAAACATCAATGGTCAAAATAAACCAATTAAAAGACAGAGACTGTCAGAATGGGGCTGGGAGGGGGGAAGACCCACACTTGAAATCTAAAGATATAGGTTAAAAGTAAAGGAATAAAGTGGTTATGCTATACTAACATGATCAAAAGGAAGGTGAAGTCACATGTTAATTTCAAATAAAGTATACTTCAGAGCAAGGACTATTATTAGGGCTAAAGAGGGACTTTACATAATGAAGGATAAAGGAGTCCATTCTTCAAGAAGACGTAACAATCTTTAACATCTATATGCCTAACAACAGAGCATCAAAATAGGTGATGCAAAAACTGATAGAACTGCAAGAAGAAATGGATAAATCCACTATTCTAGTTAGAGAGTTCAGCACCCTTCTACCAGTAACTGACAGAACCAGTAGGCAGAAAATCATTAAAGAAACTAAGTACAGTGGACCTCTATGTACTACTTAATCCAACAACAACAGAATATACCTTCTTCTCAAGTTCACAGAACATTCATCAAGATAGACCATATTCTGGGCCATAACACACACCTTAACAAATTTAAAACAATGTATAATGTATGCTGTCAGAGCACAATGGAGTTAAATTAGAAATCAATAACAGAAAGATCCCAAAATATATGAAGATTAAACATTACACTTCTAAATAACACATGGATCTAAGGAAGAAGTCCCAATAGACATTTTAAAATATTTAAACTAAATGAAAATAAAAGCACAACTTATGTAAATTTGTGAGATGCAGCAAAAGCAGTGCTTGGGGAAAATTCATAGTATTAAATGCATATATTAGAAAAGAAGAACAATCTAAATCAATAATCTTTCTACCTTAGGAGACAGTTAAATCCAAAGTAAGCACAGTTATAGAAATGATAAAAATTAGAGCAGAATGCAATCAACTTGAAAATAGGAAATAGAGAATATCAATGAAACTAAAAACCAGTTCTTTGAAAATATCAGTAAAATTGATAAACCTCTAGCCAAGCTAAGTAAGAAAAAAAGAGAGAAGATACAAATTACTAATATCAGAAATGAAAGAAAGACCATTACTACAGATCCCGTGAACACTAAGGATGGTCTTGCTGGAGCCCAGGGGTTCAAGACCAGCCTGGGCAACTTGATGAGACCTCGTCTCTACAATAAATCACAAAAAACTAGCTGGGCGTGGTGGCATGTGTCTGTAGTTCCAGCTACTTGGTAGGTTAAGGTGGAAGGATTGCCTGAACCCAGCAGGTCAAGGCTGCAGTGGCCAGGAGTGTTCCATTGCACTCCAGACTGGTGACAAGAGTGAGACTCCAACTTAAAAAAAAAAAAAAGAGGATGGTCAAGGAATATTGCAGACAACTGTATGCCTACAAATTAGATAACTTAAAGTGGATAAATTCCTTGAAA